CTCATTGCCTCTGTGCATTGAAGTTCTGTTGTTTCGAGGTTGGAATTCGAGAGCATCAGGTCAATTGTTGACACTGATTTGTTTCGATCTTCTGGGTAGTACGTTGGCGAGTCAGGAAAGTAGATCATGAACTCTCCTGACATTTCCTGAAGAATATTTCCTGATTTATTTGCAACGTTGCAGTTCCATTCTCGATGTTTTGCATTGAAGTCTCCACAGATGTAGTAATTTCCTCTCAGATTTGTTATTTTGTTGATGTCATCTCTCAGATGTAGATCTATTTCCCCTCCTTTGCTTCCTCCTGGGAGATAGACTGAGAGGATGTGACAACTATCCGTGTCATTGATGAAGACTTTGATTCCAATGCATTCCATTAGTTTTGTGTTGTAGCTTGGTTGAAGCTGATGTTTTAGATTTCTTTTGACGATGATTGCAACACCACCCTTTGGTCTATCCACGCGATCCAATCGATGAATTACGTAGTCTGGATGCGAGTCAATTTTTGAGTTTGGTTTTAGGAATGTTTCTGAGATGCAAGCAACATCGACGTTTTGCTTGCTTAGGTAGTCGAGAAATGCTAACATTTTGTCAGTGAGGCCGTTAGCATTCCAGTAGAGGACGTTGATACTTTGTTGTCTACAATCCATTATTGTATGCGGTGTTTTTGGCACTTGAGCCGATTGCTTGGAGTATTTCGTCGATGAACTCTGGATTTTTGGCGATTAATTTGAGAAGCTCGCTGATAAGGTACTTGCACTTTGATTCCTCTATTTCTGAGATGTTTTTATCTCTTGTGCTGGTGCTTTGAGCTTGTTGATTAGTTGTTATGTTTCGATTCACTACCTCAACACTGAATGAAGGTTCTGGGAAGACTTCATTCGAGGTCTGACTTGTTGCACTGATGTCTTCTGAGTCCATAAGCTCAACATCTTGTTTTGGTTTTTGATGTTGATTGTTATTAATGCGCTCGTTTTGCTTTTTTCTTTGATTCTTTTTCCAATGTTTTCCTCTTTCTTTATTGTTTTGTTGGTTGTTCAAGTTATTTTTATTTCCCTGATTTGAGGGTTTGTGATTTGGAGGAGGATTTGTGTTCCTTGGTTTGTGGTTGACTGGAACTTGTTTTTGATGAACAGGCTTTTGTGTACCAGATGTTGATGGTTCCACATTATTCTTTCTCCATTGAGGTTTTGGTGCATGTTGGACGTTTCTGGTTGATCTCTCAGGACGATGCGGTGTTGGAGGATTGTTTCTCCGTTGTCCATATGAATAATGGCCTGCTGTTTTGTTTTGATTTTGGTTGTTTCCATTCTGTGATTTTGATTTCCATTTTTCAATTATTTCTTGTCTGGTTTTACAACCTGTGAAAATTGCTGTATGTTTTTCACCGCAGAAGAAACATTTGAGTTTTCCGAGTGGAACCTTGTTGGTCTCTTTCGATATGTACTGGCACGTTTTCGAGTCATGTTGCTCAGAGCATCTGAAGCAAACGGACGGTTTGTTACAACCGTTTTGTCCATGACCAAACTGCAGACATTTCGAACATTGAGATGGTCCAGCTTGTCTATTTTTGTAGTCAGCCCATTTAATTTTGAAACTGCTGACAATTTTGATTTTTCTGAGGAATTCCAGGAAATTTCCACCTTGTTCTACATCTTTTTTGAAGTACACGAGGTAGTTCTGGTCGTCGTCTTGTTCGTGTCTTTTGTGTTTCATTGTCATTTTGACAATTTTTACTGGTGTGATTTTTACGGTTTGAAGTTCCTTCTCCAACTCACTGATTTCCATATCTGGGAGTCTATAGAGTACGTACTTCTTCAGTGGTTCTTGGCTGGAGTATGTGTGGAAGTGATGCTTTTTGTCTTTGAGTAGTTGGATGAATTTCTCGTAGTAATCCCAACTCTCCGTTGTTACCGTTTTTGTTCCTTGTTTGCCCTTTTTGGTCTCAATTAAGAAACTTCCAGGTTGATTGTTTATTTCATTCGTCAATCTCTTGATTTCACCAGCTCCTCCTGTGTTGATGACAATTGGAGGTGGTTTTGATTTTTGTTGAGATTTGTTGTTGTTGCTTTCCGTGTTTACGGAAATTGTCTTTTGTTGCTCTGATGTTTTGCTGTTTTCTCCCCAGTACGAAGAAGTTGTCGATCTTTTTTTCTCCTGTTCTGGTGAACCAAATAGATACGGTACTCCAGAAGACGAAGCTTTCTTCACTGGTGGGAGTACGAACAGTGGTTTGTTCCCATCTTTTGGTTTGCTTTCGTTTGCTACTCTTTTTAAAAGAGCGTTGGGAACTATCACTTCTCGAGGGCGTTTTTCTGCTTTACTTGCTTCATTGAGAAACTTCTTTATTGATATTTGTTTTTTTGGTTTGAGATTTGTCATCTCAATGTCGGCTGCTTGTGAAACATCTTCACTGTAAATTTCCTCAATATTGAGAATTGTCACTGAAGATGAATGTTGTTGTTGAGAACTATTAAGTCCATGCTGATTTTGAGAAAGATTTTCTTCGTTGTTGGTAGTTTTTGGTGATGCTACCATTTTGATGTTTTGAGAATCAAACTGAGATTTTGAAACTTTTTGCAAACAAAAAGTTTCTCAGGTAGTCTCTGTTTTGTTTCTTTTGAGATTTTTGAATAATTTGCGGAGCGATTTGTAAACACGTCTGTTCACGTTGAGATCTAGTTTGCAACTGATATTGAACATGACATTTATTTATATTTTTTGTCACGAGAGAAATTTAAAAAAAAATTTCACATTTTAGATTGAAAGTTTATTAAGTGCGTTTTAATTAATAGATAAGTTTTTGCTCTAAACATTTTCAAAAGGAACTGAGTGGTTTAATAAAGTCATTGGATTGTTTCTTTTGAATATGAGCCAGTTCACTTAATAAATAATATTTCTCATGTTTTGTAAGATTTCAAATCTTTTAAAAAACTGATTTTAAATTGTTAATATTGATGGTTCCCGGTTCACATAAACGGGAAATCAAGAAAGCCTAGTTACGTAATAAGCAACTCCCATCTCCTTCAATGAGGCTTCTAGCTTTTATCACATGATACTGAACTTTGATGTTTGAAAAAAAAACCAAGCGAGAGTATATAACTATGTTGAAGAATAATTATTTTATTTTTGAGGACAAATAAGTCGGTAAACATTGTCAAAAGAAGCGATAAAAAAACTTTTGATAGTATTCTAAGAAAAGCATATTTTGAGGAATATAAAAATTACAATAACCAAGATGATATAAACTTATAAGATAACATAGTTTCAATTGATATAAAAATTAAATAAATGAAATTGTTAAGGCTTGAACAAGATTTCATTCATTATATGAAAAGATGAAATCGGATCAAACACGAAAAATGTGTCCAAGCTTTGACTTTCTTTTGATTAAAACTAATTTCCCTTCGTTCATTGAACGATGAATACTTTATCTAGATTAGAACTAATTTCCTTCGTACAATGAAAGATGAATACTTTATCTAGATTAGAACTAATTTCCTTCGTTCAATGAACGATGAATACTTTATCTATATTAGAACTTATTTCCTTCGTTCAATGAACGATGAATACTTTATCTATATTAGAACTTATTTCCTTCGTTCAATGAACGATGAATACTTTATCTATATTAGAACTAATTTCCTTCGTTCAATGAACGATGAATACTTTATCGAGATTAGAACTAATTTCCTTCGTTCAATGAACGATAAATACTTTATCTATATTAGAACTAATTTCCTTCGTTCAATGAACGATGAATACTTTATCTATATTAGAACTTATTTCCTTCGTTCAATGAACGATGAATACTTTATCTATATTAGAACTAATTTCCTTCGTTCAATGAACGATGAATACTTTATCGAGATTAGAACTAATTTCCTTCGTTCAATGAACGATGAATACTTTATCCAAATTAGAACTTATTTCCTTCGTTCAATGAACGTTGAATACTTTATCTATATTAGAACTAATTTCCTTCGTTCAATGAACGATGAATACTTTATCTAGATTAGAACTAATTTCCTTCGTTCAATGAACGATGAATACTTTATCGAGATTAGAACTAATTTCCTTCGTTCAATGAACGATGAATACTTTATCTAAATTAGAACTTATTTCCTTCGTTCAATGAACGTTGAATACTTTATCTATATTAGAACTAATTTCCTTCGTTCAATGAACGATGAATACTTTATCTAGATTAGAACTAATTTCCTTCGTTCAATGAACGATAAATACTTTATCTATATTAGAACTAATTTCCTTCGTTCAATGAACGATGAATACTTTATCTATATTAGAACTTATTTCCTTCGTTCAATGAACGATGAATACTTTATCTATATTAGAACTAATTTCCTTCGTTCAATGAACGATGAATACTTTATCGAGATTAGAACTAATTTCCTTCGTTCAATGAACGATGAATACTTTATCTAGATTAGAACTAATTTCCTTCGTTCAATGAACGATGAATACTTTATCGAGATTAGAACTAATTTCCTTCGTTCAATGAACGATGAATACTTTATCTAAATTAGAACTTATTTCCTTCGTTCAATGAACGTTGAATACTTTATCTATATTAGAACTAATTTCCTTCGTTCAATGAACGATGAATACTTTATCTATATTAGAACTAATTTCCTTCGTTCAATGAATGATGAATACTTTATCTAAATTAGAACTTATTTCCTTCGTTCAATGAACGATGAATACTTTATCTAGATTAGAACTAATTTCCTTCGTTTAATGAACGATGAATACTTTATCTAGATTAGAACTAATTTCCTTCGTTCAATGAACGATGAATACTTTATCTAGATTAGAACTTATTTCCTTCGTTCAATGAACGATGAATACTTTATCTAGATTAAAACTAATTTTGATTCATTCAGTGAATTCGTTGTATATTAGAAATAGTTTGATGAAAGGATAAAATCGGATGAATCGTGTCCATGCCTTGGGAATCGTTGAGAGATGTTTTTAACCACCAGCGATTTTAGACACAAAACACTAAGGTCAAAAAAAAAAAAAAAAAAAAAAAAAAAAAAAAAAAAAAAAAAAAAAAAAAAAAAAAAAAAAAAAAAAAAAAAAAAAAAAAAATTCCTTATTTTTTTATATAAAGCTACCATCATGCTTCGTCTTGAGAAAACTGAAAACTAATAAAGATGATTTTCTTATCATTTATTGCAATAGCTAGTTTCACTCATAAAAAAATAAAACCATTTGATAAGCTGAGTTTTATAAATTCACAAATCTTTGACATTCTCATCTAGTTTTAAGCATTCATTGCGATCAGTGAAAATATCAAAACTTGAGATGTATTTTAAAAATATCCAATCAGTTTTAATTCTTGTGGCAGTTTTCCAAGGAATATATTGCCAGAATGACTTTATAAACTGTACTTATAGTGATCCTTATAACTATCGTTGTGAACTTATGATTAATAATACGCAAGGCTCAAATGATTTTGAGAATATTTCAGGAAGTCATATCGAGAATCAAACTGATAACGATGTTCATTACTTAGGCTGTCAGTACAATATTATATCTACAAACGTCCCTTCAGTGATATGTCAAAAATTCAAAAACATTTTTGATATGCAATTTTATTATGTTGGAATAGAAAGAATTGACAGCTATTCATTTAAAGGATGTGAAAATCTTTTGAATTTGCATCTTTTTTACAATCAGATCTCCACGATCGATGAACAAGCTTTTGCAAGCAACCATAAGCTTCAATATTTGGACTTATCGCAGAATAGAATATCAGCTCTGCCTGAAAACTTATTTATGAATCAACAGAATTTGATAAAATTGAACTTTTATTCTAACCAACTCTTTGACATACCAGGGAACGTTTTCAAGCCATTAACAAATCTCACTCATTTGTTTCTATCGGAGAACTACATGAAAAACATAAATCCTGAATGGTTTAAAACTTTGGAATCGTTGATTCATCTTGACTTATCAAATTCAAATCTAACAGAAGAGCTTCCAAGAAATCTTTTTGGATCTTTGAAAAAGATAAATTACATTGAATTCAGATCCAGTAAAATTAGAGTCCTCCATGCCGACACCTTTGGTGAATCATTATCTATACAAAATCTTGATCTTGGATCTAATAGAATATATGCAATGGACGAAAAATTTATTGACAATACTGGACCAACGTATTTTGATATTTATGGAAATATCTGTGTTGATATCTCAATCAGTGATAGTTCAATGACAAGAAAGGATATGAAAGAAGCTCTAAAGGATTGCTTTTTATTTTATAAGATGCTAATTGGTAAGTCTATAGATAATGTATCTTAAATTAAGCTTTGTTGAAACAGATTGTTGGAATGCGTTTGTGTAGATTGAAATCTGTAGTTCTTATGAAGGCGACTAACAAGGCATGTGTAGACGATTGGTTAAACACAAGAACTAAAATAAGCAAGACTTTCTTGTTTGGGTTCCAATCCTACCAGAAACCGATATGCATTAAATGTATGTCGTTGATTCTGATCGTGGTGTTTTTTGACCAGGTATAAATGTTGTTTAGATCTTCAAATAAGTTTTCCCTTATTTTTGACTTTTATTGTAAGCTACCGGCTAGTTTAGAATGTCACAAAGTATTGTCTTAAATGTCGTAAGGAAATTATGTTAAGAATTAAATTCATCTGATTAATTTCTACAGAAAATAATCTATCAACAATTGAATCATCAGTTCAATCAACAACTTCATCTGGTTTAAATGGGAAAATCCAAACGATTGAAGACGAAGTAAGAAATCTTACAAAAATCAACGAAGAAATTATTGAAAACTGGAAGATCCAATATGTAGCAACGGCAGATAATAAAGAGCAAATAGCTAAATTGCAGGCACTCAGCATTGATTTAAAGAATGAGATGCAAGAAATAAAAGGTTCAATAGATGCACTATGGGCCAGAAATGGAAAATTTTTCCAAAAATTATTTCTACAACTTATATGATAGTCCTTATTCTGTCCTACATTTACGTCCTTAAAACTTTGCCTAAGTCGACAGCATGTCCGAGATATGGCACTTCAAAGTTGGTCAGACGACCATTTTCACGTTACATTGAAAATGCTCTCACCAGTCACTGGATGAATGAATCTCCTTCAATTTTTTTTTGGTAATAGCTTTAAATAGTTCCTTCATTTTAAGGTATAAACAATTGCAAAAAACTTTGGAAAATTTTGTGAAAAACTTGATTTTTCTCAAAAACCACGTGTTCGTCATACTTCCGTTTGTGTAGGTCTTCACAAGCACAACCAAAGTTACTAATTTCTTTTTTATATTAAAGATTACATCAAAAGCTATAACTTTTGCATACATGTCGTATAATTTTAACAAAGTTTTGGTAGTGAAAAAAATTTTTTTTATAAAAAAAACACCAATTTTTTGACAAAAATCGCTGTAGTGCTCCAGGGATACCCATGGTAGTGGAATTTTATTTCACATTTAGAAAGCTCTCTGAATATGCTATCAATTAATGCAGTAAAATGAACAAGTGTTCTCTTGGCAAAGAGCACTTTTTTGACTCTGAAAGTCGTATGTCGAGCAAGGTCAAAAAAGAAAAATAATCATAAAAATTTCAGTTTTAAGTAAAATTTAATTTTTTTAAGTTAGATTGATAGATCTTTTTAAAACGCGTCTTTTGAGTATAAATATGTCATAGTTTTGTCAAGTTTCATGATCAGTTTTTTAAAAAAATAGTTTTTTTCAAAAAAAAACTTGAAAAATAAAGTATTTGACTTTAGAATTTCATAAAATGCATTCTTTTTAACATTTTTTTCACTATTTTGTCTAGTTTTGCTCCTCGTTTTTTCCTAAACATAAATCAATAAGAACTTAACATAATTGAAGCCATTTGGAGGTTAAATTGAGTTAAAAATCGTTTAAAATTTTTGTATTTCTTAAATAGTTCTTTACACAAGTATCTAAGATATAAAGTGTTGCATAGTTTTGAAAAGGTATTAAAATTTCCAATATGTTAACATGAAAATTTTAGGAAAATTTTCAAGTAATATAGTCAATTTGGGTAAAAAACGCATTTTATATATGCTAGTTTTTAATGTTTTTCGTTTTTCTCAGCAAAGACTTTATGAAAAACTCTCAAAGTTTGCACACTTATTTGTTATATAAATGTTAATGACTCGTATAAGTTTTGGAATTTTCTATTGAGTTTTTCATGAGTTCTCCAAATCTGAAATTTTCAATATTAAAAATCCTTTTTTCTCAATAATTCCGATTTTTTATTTATAAATAAATATCTTATTATGTTTCATTTTACAATATCTTTTCATTGATATGTAACAATCTACGAAAAAAATAAGACTAGCGAGGAATCAATAAAAAAAGTGTCAAAAATTTATGAAAATTCTACGCTATTTTAATTTTTTATCCTTTTCTGGTTAATTTTATTAAGTTTTGTAAGAGTATTATACCTTTTTGCAAATTTATAGCTTAAGACTTTCATCTGCTTTCATCCACTAAAATTCGTATGAGTTTACGATAAGCACAACTGAAGTTAAATAAGCTTCACGTTGGCGACAAAAGACAGTTCCATATGAAGAAAACCAGATATTAATTTTAATGCTATTTGAGCTATAATATTAAACTTTTTCATTTAGTTTTGTTATAAATGTTTCATGTATTTAATAGCAGCCTGAAGATTTAATTTAAAGCTTTTAAATAATTTGATTTTAAAAAATTCAAAATTTTTGGTTGCGCCAACGTGAAGCTTATTTAACTTCAGTTGTGCTTATCGTTGACTCATACGAATTTTAATGGATGAAAGCAGATGAAAGTCTTAAGCTATAAATTTGCAAAAAGGTATAACACTCTTACAAAACTTAATAAAATTAACCAGAAAATGCTAAAAAATTAAAATAGCGTAGAATTTTCATAAATTTTTGACACTTTTTTTTATTGATTTCTCGCTAGTCTTATTTTTTTCGTAGATTGTTACATATCAATGAAAAGATATTGAAAAATGAAACAAAATAAGATATTTATTTATAAATAAAAAATCGGAATTATTGAGAAAAAAGGATTTTTAATATTGAAAATTTCAGATTTGGAGAACTCATGAAAAACTCAATAGAAAATTCCAAAACTTATACGAGTCATTAACATTTATATAACAAATAAGTGTGCAAACTTTGAGAGTTTTTCATAAAGTCTTTGCTGAGAAAAACGAAAAACATTAAAAACTAGCATATATAAAATGCGTTTTTTACCCAAATTGACTATATTACTTGAAAATTTTCCTAAAATTTTCATGTTAACATATTGGAAATTTTAATACCTTTTCAAAACTATGCAACACTTTATATCTTAGATACTTGTGTAAAGAACTATTTAAGAAATACAAAAATTTTAAACGATTTTTAACTCAATTTAACCTCCAAATGGCTTCAATTATGTTAAGTTCTTATTGATTTATGTTTAGGAAAAAACGAGGAGCAAAACTAGACAAAATAGTGAAAAAAATGTTAAAAAGAATGCATTTTATGAAATTCTAAAGTCAAATACTTTATTTTTCAAGTTTTTTTTTGAAAAAAACTATTTTTTTAAAAAACTGATCATGAAACTTGACAAAACTATGACATATTTATACTCAAAAGACGCGTTTTAAAAAGATCTATCAATCTAACTTAAAAAAATTAAATTTTACTTAAAACTGAAATTTTTATGATTATTTTTCTTTTTTGACCTTGCTCGACATACGACTTTCAGAGTCAAAAAAGTGCTCTTTGCCAAGAGAACACTTGTTCATTTTACTGCATTAATTGATAGCATATCCAGAGAGCTTTCTAAATGTGAAATAAAATTCCACTACCATGGGTATCCCTGGAGCACTACAGCGATTTTTGTCAAAAAATTGGTGTTTTTTTTATAAAAAAAATTTTTTTCACTACCAAAACTTTGTTAAAATTATACGACATGTATGCAAAAGTTATAGCTTTTGATGTAATCTTTAACATAAAAAAGAAATTAGTAACTTTGGTTGTGCTTGTGAAGACCTACACAAACGGAAGTATGACGAACACGTGGTTTTTGAGAAAAATCAAGTTTTTCACAAAATTTTCCAAAGTTTTTTGCAATTGTTTATACCTTAAAATGAAGGAACTATTTAAAGCTATTACCAAAAAAAAATTGAAGGAGATTCATCCATCCAGTGACTGGTGAGAGCATTTTCAATGTAACGTGAAAATGGTCGTCTGACCAACTTTGAAGTGCCATATCTCGGACACGCTGTCGACTTGGGCAAAGTTTTAAGAACGTAAATGTAGGGCAGAATAAGGACTTTCATATAAGCTGTAGAAATAATTTTTGGAAAAATTTTCCATTTCTGGCCCATAGTGAGATGAAGTCAACGGGAAAATTGAAGGAGGTGTTAAGAGTAAGGACCAGGGACTGCAAAGTGTTCGGAATAATTATGTTTCAATTAATTTTAGTGGAAATTATCCTATTAATGGAACTAATTGATGATTTTGTTTTAAATGTGAATACGTAGGTGTTGGAATTTCAGGGATATAATCTGTAAAATCATTCTTATTTTAATGAAATTTTTACAATTTAATAATTTTACTGAGCAACTCGATTTTTCATAGTATTTTAAGTTTCACTTCTTTTTTACACAGCATTCAAAAATCAAAAAATTAATAACTATTCAATTTTTCACCTCTAAAACTGTATCAACACAGACATAATCCATATGACAATAACTTTTTTATAATGCATAAAAATTGTTATAAACGCAAGCAGTTAAAAAATATTGTGAATATTATCACAGTTGCATGGCATGCATCAATATTTGTGCAGTCTTTTATTTGCATACCTTCACTGTCTATACTGGATTTTTTTATAAAATAAAAATTATAAATATATTTGAGCGAAAACAGAAAATAATCCGCAATTGATAATTAAAAAAGTATATGAAGGCGGATTTGTTTTGTTACTATCGTGGACTATATAAGGGTTGAGGATTAATTTTCAGGAAAAATTGATTTTTTTTTAATTAATGCACAACAAATTTCACTTTAGACTCCAAACCATGGTCAATCATATTAACAGTGAGTCATTTTGCAGGATATAGATTGGTACACGCTACATTCCTGCTCCCCACCATAAACAATATTTTTGGCCTCAAATAGTAGTAAGCCATACTTAAGAGACCTCATAAATGCGCCATATCCTATCACCCGCACAATACTTCCTTCCTTACAAACTCACACATCATTTTCAATTTTTATCGACATTTGAGAATGTGTGTGAAAAAAAAATTTAATTTCTCGCCTCACTTATCTCCCAATTGTTTTCATATTTATACACGCTACGCGATAATCTGTGCCTAAATGATAATTTTTTTTCCATTCCGCAATATTTTTATTAAAATTTTTTTTCTCACACACATTCTTCGAATCATGTCAAATGTTATTCAACCATCGAGTATGGAAAATTGTTCACGCTCTTTGACATTCTCAGCGGGTTTGAGAAATTTTATCGATAATTTGTAATAATTGGAAAATTATTGTGCATACTTGGGAAATTGCTGTAAGGATTAGTAATGATAGCGTTGATAAGAATATCAATAGGAATGATGCTATCGATGGTAATATTGTTTCATTTCACGCGTTGGAAGATATTGGAAGTTGGGAGCTATTCTGATGGAAAAATTTAAAATTTTTGAAAAAGACGCTATTTAGGGGACGCAAAAGTTGTGTAAAGGGTGCTAAGTGCTCTTGACCATATCAAAAATTGTCGATTCCTTTCAGTTCGGACTTCTTAATTGTGAGATAAGAATTAATTAAATTTACAGACCCTTCCATGCCATTCCAGTTAAAATAACCAGCAAATTTTTTACAAATCCACAACAAATTATCAAGAAAAACATTCATTCAACTTCCCTCACATTAAAGACTAGTCTTTGCCATACGACCTAATTTCATTGTCAAGCCTACATACCGAGAAATATGAGGCATGACGAAAAGAATTTACAAACAAAACTCAAAAATCGATTTTTTGTTTGTTTCAAAAATAAAACTTTAAAATTCATGAAAACTTTATTTTTTTAAAATTATGAGAGAGAAAATTGAAAATTCACGTGCAGTCGAAAACACACGTGCTGTTGTCGTAGAATCGGAAAATTTACATAAAAATTGTTTTTTTTTTTTTATTTCTAAAATAATTTTTTATTTCAGGCATGCGCAGGTGATGTAATTCATAGAAATTTGAAGCACGAGAGAACGAATCGGGTTCTTCTTATTTTGTTTTGAATTTACAGAAAAAAATGCATTAAAAATTAGCAAAAATTGAAATTTTTAAAGCATCAAAGCGGAAGAGAATTGACAACGAAGATGCGCCACAACAATCAGGGAAAAAAATCATACACAAAAAGTTTAAAGACACAAAAGCTTCATTACACAAACATTTGTATGCATGTAAGCAATTTAATTCCGCAAATGAGTTTTTTTTTCATTCAAAGAATTTTTTTACCTCGAAACAATTAAGTCGGTTGAGAATCACGCTTTGTTTATTAATTATGACGGAGAAGAAGGGAGAAAAAAAAATGTTTATGAGGAAGAAATTGAGTGAACAGAAGTACGGCAAACATTGTCTCGTAAACAAAGGAAGCACGATGATGCTTTGTGATGATAAGCAACAATGCTGGAGTCTAGAGCGGGAAGTTTTTTGAGATTTTGGAGGGAATTTTCGAGATAATTTAAATTTATGATGCTTTAGTTTCAATTTTAGAATTTTTGGTTATTTTCGGTTCAATTTTTTAGATTTTTGCATTTCTTTTGCATCAATTATGTGGAACTCTGCATCCGTTTTAAAGATTTTTGCATCAATTTTGTAGTTTTTGTTGTAAAATTTGCTACAATTTTTCAAATATTTTGCATCAATTTTATAAAATTTTGCATCCGTTTTGTGAGTTTTTGCATCAACTTCATAATTTTTTGCATCAATTTTGTAGTTTTTACCAGTTTTTACGTTAATTTTTCAGATTATCGCATCAATGTTGTAAATTCTG